CCTCCAAGGCGTCGCTGCCGGCGCAGAGGCTCCGCGGGCTCCCGCTGGCCCCGGAGCTCGCCGAGATCTCCAGCACCAAGGTCAAATTCCTGCCCGGCATCTTCCCGTCCTCCAGCGCCGCGCTCAGCTTGAAGAGGAGGGATTTGTGCAGCTGCACAAAGGAGCGCTCCAGCAGCGGCCCCCGGCCGGGCCGGGGCTGCCCCCGGGGGTTCGCCGGGTACAGCCGGAGCTCCAAAACCTGCCCCGGCCGGGGGGAGTGGTAGGAATTGTGCTGGAAGCGGAGCTCCAGCTGGGCCATGGTCAAGCGCTCGCCCTCCTCCAGCACGGAGAGGTTGAAGAACAGGAGCTTCCGCAGACACAGCCACCCCTGGGGCTGCTCCTCGGGGAGGAAACGGCCTGAGGAGGAGAGAGAGAAAAAGGGGTGGGGGTGGCTGAACGCTCGGGATGAGCGGGATCAGCTCCAGGGATGGGCTGGGGACCCTCGGGATGAGCGGGATCAGCTCCAGGGATGGGCTGGGGACCCTCGGGCCGGGCAGGATCAGGGATGAGGATGTGGATCAGCTCCAGGGCTCCGACAGGAGCTCCAGCGAGCGGCAGCCGGGGCTGGAGGAGGTGCCCGGGCGGCAGGGAGGGCTCCCAGCCCTGCAGGAAGCTCTGGAGGCATCCCCGGGCCCCCGAGCTGCGGCTGCCGCCACTCCAGCATCTCCTCCGGGGCTTGGGGCGTTGTTCTCCCCCTCCGCCTGCCCCAGGCTGTGGATTCCGGCTCGTTGGGATGGACGGGGGGAGCAGCAGCGAGTTTGGGGAGCTGCCTGGTTTAGGCAGCCCGAGGAAAACTGGAACCGCGAGAGAAAAGAGCTCCGTGGCGCCCTGAGAGCTCAGGGACAGCGATCGAGCAGCCCCCAGGGGGCTGAGAACGGCTCGGAGCCAGCCAGATGTGCCGCGGGGCCAGCCAGATGTGCCGCGGGGCCAGCCAGATGTGCCGCGGGGCCAGCCAGAGGTGTTGGGACAATGGGGGGGATCGGGG